AACTCAGTTTAATGGTTCTGAGGCCGGCTGGTAGTAAGGTTTCCCGAACTCTGTGGTAGCTCTCAGAGAGGCTGATTCCATCAACAGCTGCAAAATATCAGAGTATTAACAGTGCCATGTTGCGCATGGATGGTGTCCCTGTTAATGCTTTTGGTGTGCATTGTTAAGGCCACAGAAGGAGCCCTATGTCACGGCTTAGGGTTAATTAACAGGACTGAGACAACTGCATAGCTCATTAATTAGGAGGCCAAAATCATGACCAAAGTAACCAAAAATTTAAAACCTAAAAAACCATCCCCACCACCTAAATATTTTAATATATCTTTTACAAATATTTGCGGTCTACGAAGCAACTTTCCATCAGTTGAGTCTTACCTCCTGCAAAATTCACCAGACTTGCTTGCACTCAGTGAAACAAATTTAAGTTCTGCAATTCCTTCTTCAGATGTCAGTGTTGATGGGTACTATCCTTTGATTCGTAAAGACTCCAATAGTCACATGCTAGGTTTAGGGGTATACATACGCATTAATTCCCCTATTTGTCGTGAAATCAGGTTCGAATCCTTTGACCATTCTTTTATGTGCTTTCGCCTAGCACCTCTTCACTCTATCACCTTTCTCTTTGTTCTTTATCATTCTCCTTCTTCCCATGATTGCACTCTTTTAGATGTTATCTCTGATCAAATTGACCATGCCCTCTCTCTTTACCCCTCTGCCAATATTGTTGTTGTTGGTGATTTTAATGCCCATCACACTGAATGGCTTGGCTCTAACACCACTGATCCTGCTGGCACTAAAGCCTTTAACTTCTGCGTTTCTCAATCTCTTACTCAGATAGTTAACTTTGTGACTCGTTTTCCTGACAACCCTAATCATTTACCTTCACTCCTTGACTTATGTCTTGTCTCTGACCCTAGCTTATGTTCAGTTTCTCCCTTTTCTCCCTTAGGTGGGTCTGACCATGCAATGATCTCTATAAATCTTTCTTCTCGTACTTCTTTTTTGGGCTCACCTTATCATCGCACCACCTACTACTACCCTAAAGCTGACTGGGATTCCTTTCGTGATTTTCTTCGTGATGGTCCTTGGGCTGATGTTTTTTCTCTCTCAGCTGACAAATGCGCCTCCTACATAACCTCCTGGATTCAGGCTGGAATGGAAGCTTTTATTCCTTCTCGTCGGTTTCAAGTCAAGCCTCATTCTACTCCATGGTTTTCTCCTTCTTGTGCGGCTGCTATATCCAATCGTAACCATTTTTTTCATCTTTTTCAAAAGAACAACTCTCTTGAGAACAAACGGCTATTTATTATTGCAAGAAATCGATGTAAAAAGGTGCTTTCTGATGTTAAACTCCATTATTCTCAGTTCACTAAATCTCGCATCTTATCGCAGAAGTTAGGCTCTAAAGACTTTTGGAAAATCTTCAACAGCATTGTTAACAAGGGTAGATCTAACATTCCATCTCTCATTCATGGGACTGATCTTGTTACCTCTCCCAGGGATAAGGCAGAACTGTTTGCAAAGAACTTTTTCTCTAATTCCACTCTTGAATCTTATGGACATTCTCTTCCTTCCATTCCAGTCAAACAGGTTGACCCATTGTTAGACATTCAAATCACTCCGGCTTCTGTTGCTAAATTCATATCTCAATTAAACTCGTCTACAGCTTGTGGTCCAGACAACATTCCTGTCACAGTCTTGCAGAATTGTTCTCCAGAACTTTCTTCAATTCTCTCTAAACCATTTAACAAGTGTTTGACTGAGTCTTGTTTTCCTGCTTGTTGGAAAATGGCATCTGTGGTTCCAATATTCAAAAACTCTGGAGAAAATTCTGACCCCTCCAATTATCGTCCGATCAGTCTTCTTTCTGTTATTAGCAAGGTCTTTGAGTCTTTGATCAACAAATTCCTCACATCTCATCTTGAGTCAAATAAACTGCTGTCAGACAATCAATACGGTTTTCGATCCTCTCGCTCTACAGCCGATTTGCTAACTGCTGTAACTGAAAAATTTTATTGTGCATTAGATGGAGGCGGTGAGGCTAGGGCTATTGCTCTCGACATATCTAAAGCTTTCGACAAAGTTTGGCATGCTGGTCTTTTCCATAAGCTTGCTTCATATGGTGTTTCTGGGAAAGTTTTTGAGATTATCAAATCATTTCTTTTTAACAGGTTTATTAAAGTCATCCTTGAAGGCCAACACTCTTCTTTATTTCCAGTAACTTCTGGGGTTCCCCAAGGTTCCATCCTGGGCCCTGTATTGTTTCTTATCTACATAAACGATCTTCCTGACAACCTTTCATCTAAAGTAGCTCTTTTTGCTGATGACTCAACTTTATATCCTGTCTTGACAAAAAGTCTTCTTTTTTCGATCGCCTAGAACAAGCAGCTGATCTTGAATCTGATCTCACTTCAGTAATAGATTGGGGTTCACAGTGGCTTGTGAATTTCAACTCTAAAAAAACCCAATTGCTTACTGCAAACAACTATCGTAATATGGTCAACATTCCTATATTAATGAATGGCAATCCTCTCACTGAGTCCTCCTCTTTACGTCTTCTTGGACTATCGCTTACTACTGACCTTTCATGGAAACCATATATACAATCGATTGCTAAATTAGCTTCTGCTAAGGTTGCTTCTCTTTATCGTGCTCGCCATTTCCTTACTTCTGATTCCATTCTCTACCTCTACAAATCTCTTATTCGTCCCTGTATGGAATACTGTTGTCATATTTGGGCTAGTTCTTCTAACGATTCACTTTCTCTTCTTGACAAGGTCCAAAAACGCATTGTAAATGTTGTTGGACCTGGACTATCTGCTAAGGTTGAACCTCTTTCCCATCGTCGTAAAGTTGCATCTCTTTCTCTTTTCTACAGATACTATCATGGTCACTGCTCAAAGGAGTTATCATCTCTAGTTCCATCAACAAAAATTCATTCTCGTTTTACTCGTCATTCAGCTAAGTCTCATTCGTTTACTGTATCTGTCCCTGCATGCTCTAAAAACTTTTATTCATCTAGTTTTTTTCCCCGCACTTCAATCCTTTGGAACTCTCTCCCATCTTCATGTTTTCCTGACTCATACAACCTTCAACTTTTCAAGTCTTCTGTCAACCGTTTCCTTGCTCTATAACTCTGTTCTTTTTTTTTTTCCTAGTAACTCCCAACTTAATAGTGGTTGCTTGTTGGGAGTGAATGCAAATAAAATATATATATATATATATATATATATATATATATATATAATATATATATATATATATATATATATATATATATATATATATGAATATATATATATATATATATATATATATATATATATATATATATATATATATATATATATACATATATATATATATATATATACATATATATATATATATATACATATATATATATATATATATATATATATATATATATATATATATATAACATATATATATATATATATATGAATATATATATATATATATATATACATACATATATTATATATATATATATATATATATATATATATATATATATATATATATATATATATATATATATACATATATACATATACATATATATATATATATATATATATATATATATATATATTTAAATATATATATATATACATATATATATATATATATATATATATATATATATATATATATATATATATATATATATATATATATATATATATATATATATATATATATACAGCGCTTGAAATAATTATTTTCGTAGGTTGCCAATCAACATTGATTGGCTGAAATAAAAAAAACTTAAAACCAGATGATCAAATAATTTTTTAGATGATCAATTTTTTATTAAATTTTACTAAAATTTACAATACATTTTTTTAATCCTACCTCAAAAGGTTTTTGTTTTGCCATTATAATTTTATAACTTTTAATTAAATATTATTTTATTTATTTTCTTTAGAATTCAAGTAAATCGCTTGTTTTGCCGTTTTGAATTTATTAATTTTATTTAGAATTTAAGTATACTATTGGTTTTGCTGTTTTTGTTTTTGTATTATTTTGAATATATATAAAACATTGCTGTTTTTATTTTAATTATTTTATTTAGAATTTATATATATTGTCTGTTTTGCCATATTTCTTTTTAATTGTTTTAATTTGAGTATAAATAAAACATTACCGTTTTTATTTTAATTATTTTGTTTGAAATTTAAATTAACATATTTGCCATATTTATTTTAGTCATTTTATTCAGAATTTAAGCAAATGTTTGTTTAAATTTTATTTAGAATTTAAAAAAACAATCTTTTGCTGTTTTTATTTTAGTTATTTTATTTAAAATTGAAATAAATCGTTTGTTTTGCCGTTTTTATTTTAATTATTTTATTTTGAATCAAAATAAAACTTTGCCGGATTTTTTTATACATATTTTATTTAGAATATAAATATAATGATTGTTTTCCGATTTAATATTATTTTATTTAAAATATAAATTAATTTTTGATGTTCCGTTTTTATTTAATTTTATCATAGAAAATAAACAATTGGTTTGTTTTGTCATTTTTATTTTATTTAGAATTATAATAAAACTTTTTCGTTTTTTTTAAATTATTTTATCCAGAATTTAAATAAATTGTTTGTTTTGCCGTTTTTATCTACATTATTTTATTCAGAATACTCATTTCAAAACTAATTTTGACGCGAATTAAATTTTAACTTTCTGTATTTAAAATGTTTTTGTATTATTTATTACAAAAGTTTGACTAGCAACTTCTGCCGATCAAATTCGATCGGCCAGATTTAATATTAGGCGATCAAAATGTCAATTTTTCCAAAAGTAGACGATCTTTGATTGTTGATCGGTCGCTATTTCGAGCGCTGTATAATATATATATATATATATATATATATTATATATATATATATATATATATATATATATATATATATATATATATATATATATATATATATATAAGTAAAATATAATATAAAAAAATTAAACATACTGAAATTCATCATTTTTGGATTGTGAAAAATGAAAATTTTTCATGTAACTTAGGTTAGCTAACCTAGGAAAGAGCAAAATAAATGTTAATATATATTGTAAAAAAAATTAAAGCAATTAAATAGCTGAAATTAATAAGAAAGTAAAACATTAATTCTAAAAAATATTTGAATAAGCAACAAATATAACATTAAGTAAATATAACATTAAGTAAAAAAAACTTTATAAACATATTTAAAAAGTACCAATTGGGAACATCAGATTTCACAACAACAAACACTAAAGCAGGAAGGAGATCATCGGCTGTAATAAGATCTGATTTGTCTAAAATAAAAATAAGCATAATATAATAAAATTACATATAAATTAAAATTAACTTAAAAAAATATAAATAAAATTTTTAAAGAAGCCTTGAAATAAAACTTTCAAGTTATACAGCAATTTTGTATGTATACATCAGGCTTGTGGAGCCGAGCCGGAGCCGTGGAGCCAGGGAGCCGCTGTTTTTTGGTGGAGCAGAAGCCGCAAAAATCGAGCGGCTCATGGCTTTCGAATTTTTTTTTAAAGGAATAAAATTTTTTAATCTAGAGAAACTTTATTCATTTATTGTTAAACATTGAATTTCTATTTTTTTTTTAAATATTCCTTCTAACAGTTACGGTCTTGCCAAAACGTAATAAAAATGGTTATTTTGACGATTTTGTACTCAACAAAATATTATTTTTTAATAGTATTTCGTAATATGCTTTATTAAAAAAAAAAAAAAGTAAATTATATATAAAAACATTACATATATTGCTTTATACTATATTTTCATACTGATACTATGCTTTTATATTTTTGATGCGCGATTTAATGATCAAAGGTTATTCATATCTTTAAAACTATATTAAAGTATGCAATCGTTAAACTTGGAACAATGAATTTCATTTTAAACTTGCCACTAACACATTTTTAATATATTTTTTTTGCGTAATTACATTAAGTAATTACAGTATTAATTAAAAACATCAACAAACAAGTCAAAATCTTTCTATTAATTAAATTGTCATTGAAACATTTAAAAAAAAAAACAAAAAAAAAGTCTGCGCAACAATCTACCAAATTCTTCTGCATCGTTACTTTCAATCGCTAAAGCATCTGAATCTAGCAAAACTACTATTTGTATGGTCATAAAATAATACAAGAACTCTCTATCTATTGAAGGACCAAAAGGATCTGGAAGAAAAAGTGGCTTTAAGGATAAGAAACAGCAATTAGTATTCGACAATCATTAATTAAAATCCCGGCTTATTGAACAGAGAACAAGCCAAAAGGTATAAAGTTACAGAGTTTTTTAAAGATTAAATTTTGGCAAGCAATATGCAGCTGTGGTTTGAGATCTTGAGCTTTTGTCACATGTCAACTTTAAACTCGGATGTTTACATCAAAGAATACTTGCTTGTTAAACTTTTGCAATTTTATAGAAGTTACGATGTCCCCTTTTAGTTCTGGCCTATTCTTACTTCTTGTCATTATTCTAAGAAAATTGGTACAATTTGAGAGACATCAAATTCATAACAAAAAGCTTGAATCCATTAATCTGCACACAGTTCTGTCCCATTGAAAAATTTTGGGGAATTAGCAAAGGATTTTTGCATAAAAGTGACAAAAAAATAAGTACAGTTTAAGATTAGAGAGTGAACATTGGCAGGGAAAAAATTTGTAAAAGACACAGCGCAGAAGTTGATGTCGTCAATTAGCAAAAATGTTTGCTATTTGAAATAATGAAAAATATTAAAATATAAGTTCCTTAGATTAAAATAAATATTGAAGTTTTTGCATTAGCTGAACTATTTTTTGTTTGTTTTTTGAATTTTTTATCGTTTTGAATTTTAACAATAGCATGTTTTACCCAGTGGGCACGGGACATACAAAAGAGGTCTTTTAAACGGCTTTTGAAAGTTTTGTATGCCTTTTGAACATTTTGGACGTCTTTGGGTTTCAAAAGACGTCTTTTTTAGGTACTGTGCCCCCTGGGTAGAATTAGAATTAAAGTTTGGACTAAAAACTCTAGTTTTGGGTAAATAATATATAGAAAAAAACTTTTGTTTACCCAAAACATTTTTCTTTTCAAATATAATATCCGGTAGTAGAGTAGAGTAGTGATAGTAATACAATACCCGTGTAATCATGAGAGTTGGTTTAAAATTAATTGCTGTAATTGGTATAGTTTTGGGTTGGCAAATGTGATCAAAAAAATGTCCAAAACTTGCGATTTTTGTTCATAAAGTTCGGGAGCCGGAGCCGAGCCGGGAGCCGATTATTTCTAAGGAGCCGGAGCCAAGCCATAAAAAAAAACAGTTGGCTCCACAAGCCTGGTATACATGTATATATATGAAAAAAAAACTTACCGCTTACTGAATTAGATGAACCAGACAATGTTGTAATCATAATTTTTAAAGTGCATAACTTTTCTAAGGGCGTGGTAAGCTGTTTAATTTAACAAAAGATTTAATTAGATTTACATAGCATTGGCAAATTTATAATAATAGAAATTTTGCAGTTACAGATACTTGATTAAAACATAATTAGCAAATTAACATGTGATAACTAAAAATCTGGACAAAGTTTGAGTAAATGTTAAAATATGAAGGAATAATTATATATATTTTCAATCACTTCTATTTTGTTACAAATTTAATTCTTTAAATGTATTATCAAAAAAAAAATTTATTTAGTATTAATTAAAAATGAAAAAAAAGACTTGTAACGAAGACTCCCTTAGAAAACGAGTGTATGCATTTTTGAATTTGCATCCAGATAAGAATAAAAGGTTTATTGTAAATCATTTTCAAATGGAGAACGTACCAAAATCTACTATTTATAATATACTTCAAAGAAAGGAGAATAATATAGGACCAAAAAGAAAAGTTGGAAGTGGTCGCAAAGCAAAAAAGATGTCTGCAAAAAAGATAAAGCGTCTTAAAAATTCAATTGATCAAAAAGATGGTATTTCACAGCGTGGTCTTGAAATAGGATTCCATGTATTACAACCCTACATATGCAAAATTATTCACAAAAAAAAACTAGTTTTTGTTATCTTAAAAAAACTAAAACACCTAAAAGAACACCGACTCAAAAAGCAGCTGTTCGTTCAAAGTGCCATAAATTGGTTTCGATTTTTAGGAAAAAAGTAGTTATTATTGATGATGAATCGTATTTTTATTTGAGCAACACCATTATTTCCAGAAATGCTGGATTCTATTCTTCTGACATAAATACAGCATCAAATGATGCAAAGTTAAAAAGAAAAGACAAATTTGAGCCAAAATTACTTGTTTGGATTGCATTCTCAATGAAAGGAATCTCTCAGCAGTACATCGCTCCGTCAGGCCAAGCAGTCAATGAAGATTTGTATATTTCAAAATGTCTTTGTTAGAATTCATTGAAAAACAATATAAAAATGACAATATTGTCTTTTGGCCTGATCTAGCTTCGTCACATTATTCGCGTAAAGTGCAAGGTTATCTAAAAGCTAAAAATATTGAATTTGTACCAAAAGAGCATAACCTTGCCAATGTGCCAGAATTACGTCCAATTGAAGATTTTTGGCCTGAACTTAAGAGATTAGTGTATAATAAAAACTGGCAAGCTGAAAATCTAGGTAAACTTAAAAAGCAGATCGAGTTTTCAATTAAGAAAATCATCATAGAACGTGTACATCGGCTATCTGCTGCAACATTTACAAGAGTAGACACGGCTCGTCGTCATGCCATGAAAAACTTACAATTTTTTTAAATTTTATTATTTAGATATCTTTTGTTATTATACTTTTTAAATTATCAAAATTGATCATTCGGTTAAAAAGTTATACAATTTCTAATTTTGTCCAGATTTTTAGTTATCTCATGTTATATATAAATATATATATATGTGTATATATATATATATGTGTGTATATATATATATATATATATATATATATATATATATATATATATATATATATATATATATATATATATATATGTGTGTGTGTATATATATATATATATATATATATATATATATATATATATATATATATATATATATATCTTAAGGTGGTTCAAAATCAATATTTTTGACTAAAAAATTGTATTTTCTAGGCAGTAAAAATCAGTAAAACAATAATTTTTTTATAAAATGATTATTTTTAAAGTCTTTATATAATATCCCTTCTTGTACAGGCTAGAGAAAACTTTTATCAGCCACCTTTTTAACACAAAATGATATCCTTTAATTATACAAATTTGCAAAAAAAAGTCAATTTTGTTAAATATGCGACTTCTGCCTTTTTAACATTTACACACACATATTTTATATATATATATATATATATATATATATATATATATATATATATATATATATATATATATATATATATATATATATATATATATATAGTTATATACATATATTTATATATACATATATTTATATATACATACATTTATATATACATGTATTTACATATACATGTATTTATATATACATGTATTTATATATACATATATTTATATATACATATATTTATATATACATATATTTATATATATATATATATATATATATATATATATATATAGCTCTTGGAATTAGGAAAAATAAGATCAGCAAAAATTTGACCTAAATCTGTTTTAGGTCGGCATTAAGTCAGCACAAAACTTTATAATAATTATTTTATATAGAATTAATAAAACTTCTGCGTTTTTATTTTATTTTTTATTTTTTTTTTACTATTTTAATAGGTTCCTACAGTAGTCGGCCATCACATTAGTCACCACACATTTTTTTTACAAATTATTTCAAATATATTGCTTAAACCCGCATATGAGAAAATAAATATGATTTTTTTTTGTTACATGTCAAGTTATTTCTATTCTTAGTAATATCTAATAAAAATTTTATCAACTGGCAACTCTGGCTGTCAGCAATCACCTGTCATAGTCAAATTGGTGCATATTGTACAATTTAAGGTTATTTTTAGTTGTTAGTTTAATTGAAGTTTTAATATGATTTATTTTAATTTCAAGCATCTGTGCTTTATTGAATTTTTTTTTTTTTTTTTTGAACTTAGTAATAATTATAATATATTATATAATAATAGTAAGTCATTAATTTTAAATAAAGGATTTTATGTTTTTTTTTTCTGTTTATGTAAAGACACCAAAGTGTAGTCTTTTTTTAAGGTTCTTAATTTAAATTTTCGGCTATGGGTAAAAAATGTGATATGACACCAACAAAAGTTAGTCAAATTAGATGTCTTTTACAGAATAAAAAATATTCTCAGCGAAACGTTGCACAAATTGTAAAGGCTTCTCACCAAACTGTAATGCCAGTGAGAAAAAAAATTGATACAGGGGAAGAGTTTGGTCCAAGGAGACCACCTTCTAAACAAAAGACAACACCAAGAGCGGGTTGTATAATCCAGAATATATGCCTGGATAACAGAAAAAGCCACAAAATGTATTGACTAAGCTTATCCATGAAGCTGGTATTGCTGCATCAGACTGGACCATTCGCAGAGGCTGAAGGAAGAGGGATTGATGTGTCATCGTCCAGCCAAGAAACCAAAACTAACTTCACTCATGAAAAAAAAGAGACTAAAGTGGGCTCGAAACTATTGTCGCTGGTCTGCTGAGGATTGGGAAAAAGTATTTTTTTTCGCATTCATATTCATAAATTATATAATTTAAAATAAGCATTATTTTAGATTTGCTTCTCTGATGAATCAACTTTTCAAGTAATGATGGACAAAACAGCTTTTGTTCGTCGTAGAACAAACAAAAAGTTTTATCCTGACTGCATTATGGAAACAGTCAAGCATCCAGCTTCAGTAATGATCTGGTCTGTCATTTGTGGGCAAGGAGCAGGGTGTCTCTACAAAGTAGTTGGGACAATGAGGCAGGACCAGTATAAAGAAGTTCTGGAGAACCAGTTGCTTCCTCAAATGGCAGATTGGTCTAAAAATGTCAAAAAAATTCAAAAGAAGTCCAAAAATGTCAAAAATCTTATATTTATGCAAGATGGTGCAACTTGCCACACAGCAAAAAGTGTAATGGCTTTTTTAAAACAGAAAAAAGTAGGTGTATTGCCATGGCCAGGCAATATTTAGAAGATCTTTAGAAGTTAATTAAAACTTCTGTGCTTTCGTTTTTATTTTAATTATTTCATTTAGAATTTAAATAAAATGTTCTTTATTCTGTTTTTATTTTAATTGTTTTGTTTACTATTTAAATTAAGTTCATAATTAGAATTTAATTCAAAAGATTTTCCCGTTTTTATTTTGCTTAAGTTATTAAGAATTTAAATAAAATGTTTGCTTTTCTATTTGTGATCCTAATATCGAATTCAAGGCTGCTGTAACCCATTTGTATTGACACCATGTTATTTTAATGATGATTTATCACGCTTAGCCGTATGATATTTTCATTTATATTTTTGACCACGCGGTAAGATACTCTTAAATCCTCATTAACTAGGGTATATATATATTTAAAAAAAAAAGTTTAGAAAAGGTCTTGAATTACAAAGTTAGTAATATTTTATTTAGAAGACAGTTAAAATGTTTGTTTTGCCATATTTATTTTAACTATTTTATTTGGAATTTAAATGAAACGCTTGTTTTGCAGTTGCAGTTTTTAAAATTATTTGTTCTGAATTTGAATAAAAAGTTTGTTTTTCCTTTTTTATTTTCTTTATTTAAATAAAACTTTATTTCAAATTTAATTTAACTATTTTATTTAGAATTAAAATAAAGCAATGGTTATACTGTTTTTTGTATTTTAGTTATTTTATTTTCTCTATAAAATTGGATATACCAAAAAGTCAACATCCAAGAATATATATATATATATATATATATATATATATATATATATATATATATATATATATATATATATTATATATATATATATATATATATATATGAAACAAATTTTATATATAAATATATACAACATTTGTTCCATATAGTTATGTATACACACACACACACACACACACACACAAATGTATATATATATATATATATATATATATATATATATATATATATATATATATATATATATATATATATATATATATATATATATATATTTATATATATATATATATATATATATATATATATATATATATATATATATATATATATATATATATATATATATATATATATATATATATATATACACACACATATTATGTATATTATGTGTATTATATATATATAAACAGTATGCAAAAAAAAAATCGTACAATTATAAAAAAAACGTAATTTTAAAGTTTTTATCAAATGAGTTTTCCGTTAAATTAAAAAAAAAATTTTTGATACCTTATCAATTATTGTTTTAAGAATTTATTTGTGTATTGGCGAATTAATTACTTACACTTAAAAATAATGATAATTTTTAAGATTGCAGAAAAATGAGCTGTCTGTTAAAATATTAAATTTTTTTTTTAGATATCTTATTAAGTATTGTTTTAAGAATTTATTTGTGTATTGGTGAATTTATTTGTGTATTGCTTTTTAAACCTATTGAATTTTACGAAATTGATATAATGATGCATAAAATTGATTTCAAAAAAAATAATCCTACAGCTCAAAAAAGATGTCAAATTGATCAAATTCTAAGGAAATTAGCATTGACTGGGGCCTTCTTTGGTTTCAACTACATGATTTGGCATTGCGTTGACCAAATTCTGGCTCTCTTCTGTTATTACATTATCCCATGTGCTTATTATAGCTTCTTTTAAGTCCTCTTTGCATCTAAATGCTAGGTCACCAATTTTTCTGTCCATAATATACAACAAATTTTTTATTGGATTGAAGTCTGAACTTTGAGATCGCAATTCCAAAACATTGATGTTATTTGTGTCAAAGTTTTCTTCGTTTTCTCAATTGTTAAGAAGCATAATCTGATTGTAACTGTTTCTAGTGTGTCAGGTAGAAGACAAAAATGCAAGACCGCCAGTGCAATTGATCCAAATATCATCATTAATGTGAAGAAAAATAGATTTTTTTCAACAGCTAAAGTAGCTTAAAAAATTCAAGAAGATCACAACATCAGAGTGACTCCTTAAACAATCAGAAATCTTATTAGAGAACAAGGATATAGAGGTAGAGTAGTTTGAAAAAAAACCTTTTTTAACTTTTAAACAAATGAAACATCAATTGGAAAATGCAAAGAAGTACCAAAAAATAAAAGATATCATATTTGAAAAAAAATTTGTGGTCAGATGAGTCAAAATACAACCTCGCGTCATCAGATGGAGTTCAGAAAGTGTGGAGAAAAAAAAGGAGATGCTTATAAATTAAGTTATTTGCGAGGAAGTGTAAAGCATGGAGGAGGAAATGTGATGGTTTAGGGTAGTATAAGTTACATTTACAGATGACAAAATAAATGCTTCAATGTATTGGGAATTTCTCAAAGCCAACTTGTAACCTTCTTCTTAAAAATTGAGAATGAAAAACGATTTCATATAACAGCAGGATAACAATCCAAAACATACCGATAAGAAAACAAAGGTATACTTTGACACAAATAAGATCAATGTTTTAGAATGGCCATCTCAAAGTCTAGACTTGAATCCAATAGAAAATGTGTGGTATATTTTGGACAGAAAAATTGGCAACCAAGCATTAAGACGCAAAGACGACATGAAAGAAGCTATAATAAGCACATGGGATAAAATAACAACAGAAAAGACCCAAAACTTGGTAAACTCAATGCCAAATCGTCCATCAAGGCCAAAGGAGGCCTCACTCGATACTAATTTCCTTAGAATTTGATCAATTCGACATCTTTTTTGAACTGTACAATTATTTTTTTTGAAGTCAATTTTATGCATCATTATATCAATTGGGTAAAATTCAATAGGTTTGAAAAGCAATACACAAATAAATTCACCAATACCAAATAGATTTTTAACCAATACACAAATAGATTTTAAACAATACTTAATAATATATATATATATATATATATATATATATATATATATATATATATATATATATATATATATATATATATATATATATATATATATATATATATATATATATATATATATTTGGTGTATAAATGAATAAATGAAAAAATAATAGAGGTAAAACTTCTGCAGATATCATAAAATGGACTGTTAAAAATGTAAAGAATAATAACATATCTATTAGATCAGAAGCAAAAGACCATGGGATTAACTACAAAACATTAACACATTATTGTAACTTAATTGTTCTTACTAACTTATCACATGATTCTATAACAGATCTAATCAAGCAAAGTCAAGAGTCCAACTGCATGAATATTGGATACAAAAAACGATTGATATTGCAAGGTGCAATAGAAAGAGAACCGGTCACCTACCTGTTGCAAGCAGCAGAAAATTATTTTAATCTAACTCCTACAGAAGTAAAAAGGTTTACTTTCCAGCTTGCAATTAAAAATAATATTTTTAATAATAAGTTTCTCACTCTTGGATTGTAGAAGAGCTGGTAAAGATTCATTTACTGCATTTATGAAGCGTCATTTAAGTATTTCCATAAGGCAACCTAAAGCTACTAATTTAAGTCGAGCAACCAGTTTCAATAAGCAGAATGTTGCATCATTTTTCAATAATTTGAATCCCTGCATAATTACTCTTTCTCACTAAATGACATTTGGAACATAGATGAAACAGCGATAACTACAGAGACTTAAAAAAATTATTGCCAAGACAGAAAGAAAAACAAGTAGGACCCATCACATCAGCTGAACCAGGAACACTTGTAACTTCAGCATGCACAATAAGTGCTATTAGAAAATAGCCTGCCACCATTTTTTATTTTTCCTCATAAAAACTTTAAAGATTATTTCCTAATAGGAGCACCAACAGGAAATGCTAGAGATGCCAATCCCAGTGGTTGGATGAAAGAAGAAAACTTTGTAAAATATCAGTAACATTTTGTACGCAATACAAAATTCATTAAAGAAAAACTTTGTTTATTATTGTTTGACAAACATGAAACTCATATTAGGCCTCTGCCTATAACAGGTTGAAAGTTAGCATTAAAAAGAGGTAGGAAAAAGCATTCAACAATGATTCTAACTAACACACCTGTCAATGCATAGTCTTGAAGCATGGCTTACTAATGATAAAAACAAGCAAACTAATAAGACTAAAAATCTTAAAAGACATGTGAAAGGAAATAAAAAAATTGTTAAAGTTAAATTTTGCTAAAAAAGTACTTTGACAGTCTTAAAATCATCTGAAGATAAAGAATATTTATGCATCTACTGCTTTCAATCATTTGCTAAAAGCAGATCAAGGGAACACTAGATTCAATATCAGCAGAAAATGGGCTCATGAAGAATGAAACTTGTCTTTCTTACAACATTAATTTAAACACCAATTTTAAAAATACTTATTATAGTGTAAGATGTGATAGTTTTAAAAAAAAGCTGTTTTAAAATTATTCCACATCAGTAAGATTAGTAACAAGCTCAACTTGTTTTTTTATGCAGCGACCTTGTTCATCAAGGTTTGTGTTTTGCAGTTAGAGAGTTGATAGAAGGTTGTAACTATAAAAAGTAGCCTCCTCAACTATAATGGCTTTGACTTTAGGGAGGTGAATTAAATTAAAAAATATATATAATCGTTTTCAGTATAATCTGAAAAATTTAAGTCACAAACTTTCTGAAAAATGCCAAAATTAAGTTGTACCCAAATTTGCATCAAGTGGTTATAATCTAAACATACCAAGAAATATAAACTTTGTAATTGATTTAAGTTATAGATCTAATAATGAGAAAAATTTTAGTTTTATTTCCTACTTTTCGTTTCCTTTTATAATAACAGCTAATTTAACCTCTAGACGGGTGTCAAGAATTATAATGTTAATAACAGCAATATAATCATGACAAATAAACTAAATAAGTAATTAAATCAATTAAATGAGAGCTGGTCTTTTACAAATCAGTTGTTATTTATGATATTATGATAGCTATTTAATTTGACATTAACTTTTAAAATATGCTCACAAATCAGTTAATTAAAAACAGCTTCAAAATAAAACATACCCTAATTAGATCCGACAATGTATTCTTTACTTTAGGAATGTTTTTACTAAAATCAGTCAGCAAATTATAAACAAATGCTACAAATAAATTACAAGTGTTACAAATAAAAAAGTTAGAGTAATTAAAATACCATAAAATAGGTTTAATGTCAAGATCTTTGACTTGTAATTCAGATAGATTTCTAGTTATTTTATTGAATGATGCATCCTTTACGAAAAATATGATACAGAATTTTAGATATAAAGAGCCAGAAAAAAAAATCTTAAAAACATAAAACACAATAAAAGTAAGAAAAAGAAACAAAAAAAATTGAAACATACTTCATCTGCCATAATTACACTAATTCCTTTGAAAATTCGCTTATACAACCCATCCATAACATAAGTCTATAAAAGTTTCTTAATTACATTTTAATGTTTGACTTGTAATTAACATTACAGAAACAATTTCATCAAATCGAAACAAACCTCAACTGCTAGTTTGACATTTTCCATAAATGCTCGATTACTTGAAGCTGGTTTACGCTAAAAAAATATATTGCACAATTAATTAATAATATAATAAATAAAGTTGTACACTAGCAATAAAAATATAATATAAATTTTTTTTAAAAGAGAAATAATTCCCTGGTAAGATGGACCTCAGCATTTTTTTAATAGGTTAATAAAGTCTCAATTTCTTCTACATTTAGATATTTTTTTTTTTTTAAAGTTAAAAAAGCCTGATGTCAAAAATATTTGTGATTTAATATGCAATATGCAATCTAATTGCCTATTGCATATTAATGCAATAGGCAATTAAATTGCAATAAATTTAATACTTTGCATTCAAATACCTGTTTATAGTTAAAGATACAAATATATTGAAATAAAATATTGTTAAAAATATGTTCTATCAACTAAGCTTGTTTAACAATAGTTAAGTATATAATATAGTTTAGTATAATAGTTGTACATAAAATATATATTTTATATTTTATTGATTTGTATATAAATGACCTACATATGTATATACTGCTTGACAATTTAAAAATTACATACGATGACTTGATATAGTCTACCTGACAGAATATCTAATATATAGTGGTAGGGAGCTAATTTTTGCCCCATGTTTTTTATTTTGCCCATGTTTTTAAAACCCTTTTGCTTTAATACTTATTTTAGTTTATTTTTATATTTTGCTAATTATTGCCTTGACATTGTTCCCTTTTTAATTTTTTTTCTGTTCACTTTTAACAATATTTTGTTTTGATGGATTTTTGAATTATTTAGTACAGAGCTATGTGATTTGAGACAACATTGACCACTGGGATGATTCAGATAAAACAGAAACAAAATCTAATACTTATTCTTCATTTAAAAAAACAAAATTTTAATAATAACAGAAAGAATACAAACCAGATAAGATTGCTTTAAACAAATCTGCATTGCTCGTGTGAAAACAGTATTTGCAGCATCCTGTTTTAAAAATTTAAAAAAACTAGAAATTAAAAAAAAAAAAAATTATTTTAATCTAAAATGAAAAAAAATTATACAAAAACATGTATGTATAAATTATAAAAAGACATTGTAAATTATACAAGAATTAAAATATAAATACATTAACTTATAGAGTATGTAAATATGCATTAATATGTTCATATATTAATATGCTTGAAATAGATTGTTTTGCTTTTTTTTTCAGCGGTGTCAATTTCTGTAAATTTTTATTTAAGCTTCTTAACCATAACTATTTGCCCAATGTACTGCTACCTTGTAGAGTGTGCTTTTTTAGGCAAAGGCTAGGAGAAACGAATTTCAACTTAAAAATCCCCAACCTTAGGGCTCCTGGTTGAGTAAAGGCTAGAGACGGTGTCTCGATAAAAATACTCATCTTGGGTAGATTTTAACTGCATCCAGCTAGTGTCTTGTAGGAGGCCTCCTAGGCAAATAGTTTAGGAGTAAGCAGAATAATTCTTTTGACCAGCCTTGAACTGTTACTTCATCTATTAGACTGGCATAGATATAAACCTGAGTTTTTTATTTTTTTTTTGTTATTCATCTTCCCAAGGCCGAAAAAGCCACTATAGATGAGGAGGCTTCTTGTGGTTATAACCCTCTCTCAACTCTACAACTCCGAAACACGAACCTTGACGAACAAGGTTACGAAGCGCGGTACTACCAGGGATGTGATGGGAATAGAACTCGGAACTTCTTGCATATAAAGCAAGCGCTCTACCATTACACCACTACCGCATTAACGAGTTACCACTACCGAGTTACATTGTTTCCTGCCTGAGATGATGAATGCTGAATCTTTTTGACTCTTTTCATAGATTTTTGCATGTGCCTTCTTGATAGTGGCTATGTAACTCGCTTATACATCCTTGATAGTGGCTATGCAATTCGCTTATACAACCCATCCATGACATAAATCTATAAAAGTTTCTTATTACATTTTAATGTTTGACTTGTAATTAACATTACAGAAACAATTTCATCAAATTGAAACAAACCTCAACTACTAGTTTGACATTTTCACCACTCCAAGGCCGAGAAGACCACTATAGATGAGGAGGCTACTTGTGGTTATAACCCTCTCTCAACTTTACAACTCCGAAACACGAACCTTGACGAACAAGGTTACGAAGCGCGGTACTACCAGGGATGTGGTGGGAATCGAACTCGGAAGACTCTCACTTATGAAGCAAGTGCTCTAACACGACACCACTACCGCATTACTGAGTTACCACTACCAAGTTACATTGTTTCTTGGCTGAGATAATGAATGCTGAATCTTTTTGACTCTTTTCATAGATTTTTGCTTGTACCTCCTTGAACTATTTTTTTCATCTTTTTCAAATTGTTTACAAAAGAAGGTCTAAAATTCTCATTTATGGGACTAATCTTATTACCTTTCCCAAAGATAAGGCAGAACTATTTGCAAAGCACTTTTCTTCTAATTTAATACTCGAATCTTATAGCCCATCTTTTCCTTCCATTCCAATTAAACAGGTTAACCCATTGTTAGACATTCAAATCACTCCAGCTTCTGTTGCTAAGTCATATCTCGATTAAACTCTTTTACTGCTTGTGGTCCAGACAACATTCCTGTCATAGTCTTACAAAATTGTTCTCCAGAACTCTCTTCAATTCTCTTTAAACTATTTAATAAGTGTCTTACTGTGTCTTGTTTTCCTGACTGCTGGAAAATGGTGTCTGTTAGTCTAATTTTTAAGAACTCTGGTAAAAATTCTGACCCCTCCAATTATTGTCTAATCAGTCTTCTTTCTGTTATTAGCAAGGTCTTTGAGTCTTTGATAAACAAATTTCTCACATCCCATCTTGAGTAAAATAACTTACTGTCAAACAATCAATATGGTTTTCGATCCTCTTGCTCTATAGCTGAATGATGGAGGATTGATCAATTAGATGGAGGCGGAGAGGCTAAGGCTATTACCATCTTCATTATTTTCTGGCTCATACAATCTTCAACTTTTTAAGTCTTCTGTCAACCGTTTTCTTGCTCTATAACTCTATCCTTTTTTTTTTGTAACTCCCAACTTAATAGTGATTCAGCCTTGTTTAGAGTTAACCAAAATAAAAATAAAAAAATTGCTAACAGCAATCATGTAGACAAAACCTGTTGACAAAATTAAAATTAATTTATAATCACAATTATTATGTATATATAATTATGTATATATTATCACAATTATTATGTATATATAAATATGTATATATAATATATTATTACAATTATTATGGTGATTTAAATGTTCACCACACTGAATGGCTGACCACACAGAATGGCTGACCACACAGAATGGCTCTAAACTTACCTTACTTGCTGTAAAGTTCAAAGTTTTTTGTTTTTTTCTGCCCCAATAATTAATTTTTGAGTGTTTTCTAGACAAGAAAAACCATTTACCTTAGCTCTATAGCTTGTGTTTTCTCTCTAAATCTCCTGGGTTTAAGCAAATGTGAAAGCTTTTCTTTCTTTCTGTTGGTTTAAAATGTTCAAAATTTTAAATGGTCTACTCAATAATTTTATTGTTGTGCAGCTGCTATTTCTAATAGCGTATTTCTTTTTTTTTTTTTATCATTTTCACTTGAACAACTCAGACAACTTAGTACACAACTCATTTGAAAATTTCTTGATAAATTGAAGGCTGATAAAGTCTAACATATATATGTTAGGTTTAGGTATATAAATACCACACCACTATGTATATTTTTGAATATTTTTCTTATGCATTAATTATTAAAATTTAAAAGTTAAAAGTTAGGCTTTTTAATATTTAAAGTTACAACTTTCTTAAATACTTTTAAAAAGTCATTTTCAAAAGTCTTCAAATTTTAAAAACTACATTGAATTAGAAAGGAAAAAAAGCAACTAATTAATAACAAAAACTTATTGATCTCATGCAATTAAATATTTTGTATGAACATATCTCTAGTATAAATTTTATTTTTAGGAAACCTAAAAATAAAATTTAGGTCTTTTTTATTACACAATGTATCACTAATTAGTTTATACTAAGTTAGGTAACAAAATTTTAAATGTTAATTCATAAAATTTAACATTATAAAATTATAAATGTTAAGTTATAAAATCTGACATTATAAAATTTATTTTATAATGGTAAATTAAAAAAAAAAAATTTACTGTTAATTAGCAGTATTCATTTAACTCATTCATTCAAGTTAAGCCAATCTTTAAATTATAAAAGAAAAAAAAAAAAAAAAAAAAAAAAAAAAAAAAAAATTGTCAACTCTAGGTTTTGCTACTTCAGAAGATTACTAGAAAACTTCTTTTAAGTAATATCATTTACTAATATCATTTTTTTTCCTCATTTTTGTTACCAAGATTTCAGCATATTGACTAATGACTAATAAGTCAATAAATCAATTGACATGACTAATAAGTCAATGATCCTAACTGAAATAACTTCATAGCCACCATCATTTTGTCTGCAGATGAAACTATGTATCTTTTCCCAGGCCTTAACAATCTTGATATTGAATATCGTGATCTTCAATAATTTTAAGGGATCTTAAGTAAAAGTAGCAAATTAAGTAAAACTGGTTGAAAATTTGTACTTCATAAGATATAGGGCTTTACATATTTAACCAAACCAAGAGTCAATTAAGGAAATTAACACTAAATAAATTATTTCTCATAAATAAAGTAGAATTAAAAATGATGGAAATGGTACGTATATTATTAAAGTTGCATTGCACAAATATATATAAACATTATATGTAAACTAAATTGGCATTAAAAACTACAACATAATCAATATGAGTACTTTTGTCAGAACATTAGTTTTTCTAAAGCATGATGTGAACTTTTACAATTTTTATAAATTGAAAGATTGATATAAAACACTTTTTAAATTATCATTTAATAAATTATAACAAAAACCATGTTGTTAAAAAATCAAAACCAGGTTGTTAAAAAATAAAAACCAGGTTGTTAAAAAATCAAAATCAGCGTTTAAGGCATTATTTTATTAACTAAAATCACAAAGCAATAATAGCTTGATTTTAAATAATTTATTTTGACAGAATATTTCTTTAGCTGGTAAGATGACAACTACATATTTTACATTTGGGTTATGGTTTATAAGGTTTATAAGGTATAATTTATAAGGTATGATTTATAAGGTATGATTTATAAGGTATGGTTTATAAGGTATGGTTTATAAGGTATGATTTATAAGGTATAGTTTATAAGGTATGGTTTATAAGGTATGGTTTATAAGGTATGGTTTATAAGGTATGATTTATAAGGTATGGTTTATAAGGAATGGTTTATAAGAATTTAGTAAGGTTAGACTAGATTTAATGATGTACTTTGACATGTTTTTGTTTCGTTTATTACTAATTTTTCTAATCAGTTTAAATATTTACCAAATAAGAGAATCTAGATATTTGTTCAAGTTTCTATAAAAAAAAGTTTTTTGCCATAAATACATTTAACAAATACTATTTTAAATTCAAAATAAAAGTAACAAATATTTAGTGTATAAATAGATAACAATTACTTTTAATGTTAAAAAAGTAACATTAAAAATTATCACTCATTTTGTTTTACTGAAATTAAATTTCAAAAAAAGGATCATTGATGTATTTTTATTGATTTTTTTAAGCATAAATCAAAATGATTAAGAGCTAGGCTACAGCTCCTTGTATGTTTCAAGTTAGCACTTTTATAAAATGAGCTGAATAAACAAATGTAACTAAAATTAAAAATAAACAGACTATAAACTGAAAAGAGAAATAAAAAAAATAAAAAAATAAAATAAAATAAAAATCTTAACAAATGATAAAATGATAAAAAAACAGAAAAATAAAAGCATAAATTGAATATATATATTTTTATTTAAAAGTGTTTTACTACAAAAAATTATAAAAAATAGAAGTTTCAAAGTTATTTAATCCAAGCTTCGTTACTTTTGTTTTAAACTTTGATATTTTCTTATGTCTACAAACTGAATAAAACTTTTTTAAAAAATCATCAATACTGATATAACAGTCACAACTTATAAATGACAATATTAATCAACTAATGCATTGCATCAACATGGCATCCTTAGGAAAAACTAATAGCTTTAAAATATTAATTGAAACGCTTTTAAATTAATTAAGTTTGAACTTATAATTAAAACATTTCCAAGTTAAAAAATATATTAGTTTACGCTATTACTTTCTCTGGTTTATCCTTTACTTATTGTATCATTTATTAAGTTCATTTCTCTTTTCAGTTAATGGTTTATTTATTTTAAAAAAAACAACTGTATGCGTGGTCATATAAGGTGTGTGGTCAGGGTTTAGGGTTAGGGTGAGTAGGCTTGTAATTATGTTAATGAATAAAAAACAACTCATTAATCAATGTTATATACTACTATGCTCCATTTTCTATAGATTTAAGTTCAGTATTTAATTCCTGCAATAGTATTCTACACCTTTTCAAGATGTAAATGAGAACATGAAAGTTGTAATTAAGAAGTCGTAATATGTAATTAAGAAACACAACATGTAATTGAGAAAACGTTATATGTAATTGAGAAACACAACATGTAAATAAGAAGTCGTAACATGTAATTAAGAAACACAACATGTAATTGAGAAAACGTAAGATATAATTGAGAAATCATAATATGTAATTGAGAAATCGTAACTTGTAATTGAGAACACATAAATTAAAATAGCAAATTCACAGTCTAAGTTTGTAGGTTGTTACAAAAGGTCTTTTTGGACATGAATTTAAGTTATAATCTTAAATTTTGCTTTTGTATGCACAAGTAATAATAATGGAATTGAAAGATCGTTGTGTTATATGCCAATACACTATGACCCGAAAGTCTGTGATTAAGCTAAATCCGTGTCAACATTTATGTCACCAAATTTTTCCCTAAATTTTTCCCTAAAAAATTAAATTTACGCTACAAATCTTGCGTCATTTTTAAGTGTGTCATTTTATACGCTCCATTTTTTTACGCGCCATTTTTTTAAGCGCTATTTTACACTTACTCCTTTAAAGCAATATCTAAATTAAAATTTTCCTGTTCTCAATTACATCTTTCTATTTCTTAATTACAACTTACATTTTCTCAATTACATGTTACGATTCTTAATTACAATTTTCGTTTTCTAAATTACATCTTATGTTTCTTAATTACAACTTACATTTTCTCAATTACATCTTACGTTTCTTAATTACAACTTTTGTTTTCTCAATTACATCTTACGATTCTTAATTACAATTTTTGTTTTCTCAATTACATCTTGAAAAGGTGTAGTAAAAAAATGTTTACACAAAATATTTTTTTGTTGGAAAACAAAAAAATATTTTGTGTAAACATTTTTTTCTTGCTTATTTCTTTTTATTAAAGTAAAAAATATATATAATAAAACAAACCATTGAGTGCCGCATAGATTCTGACTCAAGACGAGTATATGATTCATTGAACAAAGTAATAATTTGATTAACCTGTGCTATGCTTCTTTTATGTTCTATTGAATTAAAAAAATTTATATATATACCATAGTTATTACATGATTTGCAGCATATTTATTAAAACTTCACAACTGATTTAACCATTTCTAAATTAATGCATTATAAAATTAAAACTTATTGAATCACAACATTGCATCATATTGCATTACTACATTGCATCATATTACATTACAACGTTTCACCATATTGAATTACAACAATTTTACATTACGTTTTTTTAACAGTAAAAGAGAAAAAGAAAAGATAAATATAAAGATTAAAGATAAAACCAAATTATAATAACAAGAAATAATTATTTATTTTATATGCATAAATAATTTGTTAACAATCTTAAAAATCATCTTTAAACAAACGCACATAAAAAGTCATACAAAAAAAAAAGGAAAGAAAAAAAAAAGGAAAAAAGAACTTCGAATAAAAAAAAAACACTAAATAAACTTAAATAAAGATAAAAAAAAAGAAAAAAAAAGAAAACAAAAGAACAAAGAATTGAGTAAACTAAGAAAAAAGAAAGAAGAAAAAGCATTAGTAAAACAAGAAGATTGTAGTGAAATTTAAGAAGAATTTAGTTTGTTTATTTTATAATAAGCTTTTAATTTAATGTAATTATTCTTATTATTACTATTATTTTTTTTTTTTTTTTTGCTTTGTTTTGTTCATTACTCAGGCTTGGTTGAGCGATTGCTCTCGAATACTGACCACGGAAATTATAATTAGTTGCGAAAAACTGGCCAGGTTTTTTAATCGTTTTAAAACGGCTCAAAATTTTGAGAACATTTAAGTTTATGTACGGAACAAAAAAATTTTATTTTACGGACATACATAGAAACATAAAAAACTTAAATGTTCTCAAAACATCTTGGTACGAAAAAATAAAAAGAATATTCACGAACACTAAAAACCCGCCAAATTAACGAACAAACTAATTCCATTAGTTCAAAAAATACGCTGACAAAGCGAAATAAAGTTTTAGAGTATTCTATTGAAATGTTTTAGAATTTGTATTATTCACGATTTATTATGTTTTGAGATTTCAAACATAAATTGTTTTAAGAATATATTATCAATACTATGGCTCATTCTGGGAGCCACATCTACAAAGCTGTAAACTATTATTATTTGTTTACAAAAATTAATGTTTTAAATATATATTATTTAAATTGTCAAAATTTTGAAAGTTTATTATAAATTATAGCTTTTATTAGTATATTCTTATTTTTATTTAAAAAGTATTCTTTATATAAATTTAATTTTGTGTATCTGTTTTATCGTAATGTATTTTTTAAAACAATGTTTATGATTTAATTTGTAAACAAAGACTTACAAAAATATTTGTGTTTTCAATGAAGTTAATAATAATCATTAAAGTTAATAAAACTAATTATGTAACAAATATGTAAGCAGTTTCTGATCACTAAATATAAACAACACATACAAAGTAGCTCGCGGATGAACAAGCACCGCGCCTAAGGTCACGATAGAACACAAATATATCTAGCAAATTATTAGATATAAAGTAAAGTTTCTAGATTTGATTTACTAACTCTAATTTGTCATTTGCCATTCTTAAAAACTCGTTACACTTTGTTCTGTTTTAAATACTAATTAAAATTAAAAAGCCCACTCACTAAACAACATCAGCAATATTGTGAAGCAGTTTCGCTTTCTCGTCATATAGTATTTTTAACCTTTTTAAGTTGAACTTTTTAAACTACGCGAAACATAAAATAGGTAATAAAAAAATTAACTTTTTTATTTATAAAATAATTTAGCTTAAATAAAACTAAAACTTGCAAACTTTGTTAAATAAAGAACATTTGTTTCCTTTTTAAACAATTGTAAGATGTTACTTTATATATAAAACTTCGCTTAATTTTATAAAAAAAAGTTATGATAGAGCGATGTTTCGAAGTATTTGTTCTAAACGTAATTTATTTTGCTTTAAGTTTTTTCGCGTTAAGAGATTTTTTTTTTTTCTATTTTTTTTTTTTTTTTTATTGTCTCTCATCAGTCCAATTAATCTTTAGCGCAACTTTTTTTTTTGCTTTTTGAAATGTTCTCAAAACTACTAAAAAATCTGGCCAGCTTTTCGCAACTAAATATTGTTGCCGTGGTCAGCAATCGAGAGCGACCGCTCAAGCTTCCTGACCAAGCCTGATTACTGATAAATTTTTTTTTTCTTTATTGTTTATTATTATATATATTTATTGTAACTATTATTATTATTATTATTATTGCTATTATTGCTTTTATTGTTATTATTGCTATCATTATTATTATTATTATTATTATTATTATTATTATTATTATTATTATTATTATTATTATTATTGCTATTATTATTATTGCTATTATTATTATTATATAACTATATAGTTTGTTAACTTAGTTATTTTAGTTTTACTTATAAACTTAAATTAATAAGTATAAACTTAATAATTTATTATTATACAATTTCCTTTATTATTAAATAGAATATTTTACTAATAATCATTCATAATTTTTTTATTATTTTAATATATTTTATTTTATACTTATAATTTAACTAATTATAACTTATTTTTAATATATATTTACGCTATTCTTCCCTAATTTTACTAATAGTATTTTTTTTATTACTATTTATTTTAATTGTTAAATAAATTTTATTTTTATTTTATTATTTTATTAATTGAATTATATTTATATTATTAATAAATATTATTATTATTTTTAATATTTTTGGTTATATTGCTGTTCATATTACTGTTTGTTTCCTTATTTCACATCATTCTATCGTTTCATTTTATAAACTGTACTAATAAAATGTCTTCGCACTGCAAAGATTGTTTCAAGAAAATTAATAAAAATCATCACTACCTTCATTGTAATCATTGCCTAAACTTTTTCCATAAAAAAGGCTGTCGCCTGAATGATATGGAAATTAGGATATTGAAAAACTCTAAAACATCTTGGTTCTGTATTTTATGTAGAAAACACATTTTTACATTCAGTTCTTTATCTGATTAGGAGCTGCGTCTGCAAACAAAAAATGATAAAGTGATTCATATTAATGAACTCCCAAACAACATATGATCTTTTTCAAACACCATAGAGTCTAACTTAATGACTTCATTTCTCATCACCTTAATAACAACAATTACAATGACAAAACTTCAAGAAGAAAACCCTTTTAATTGTAAATATATGGACATAAAATGTTTTAACTTTGCCAACATTGACAAAAATAATTTTTCTCTTTTTCGTTTGAATAATGCTTCTCTTATTAAAAATTTTGACAAATTAAACTCACTTTTGTCTCTTGCTAACCATGAATTCAGTATTCTTGTCATAACTGAAACTAAACTAAAAAATGACATCCTACCAACTATTAAATCTTACCGGTTATGTTTATGAGCACACTCTGACAAAATAATATTTTGGAGGTGCCTTACTTTATATATCTAATACATTAACTTACAAACTTCGAAATGATCTTAATATGCTTAAACCAAAGCTTTTAGAATCTGTGTTTATGGAAATCATATTTCCTAAAAAATTAAACATCATTATTGGCTGCATTTATCTTGATCCTAGTATGGATATTTCAGAATTTATTAAATCATATTTAATTCCACTTTTTGAAAAGCTATTTATGGAAAAAAAAAAACTACTTTTTTAATGGGTGATTTTAATGTCGATCTTTTATTAGCAAACTCAGATAATTATGTCTCTGAATTTTTAGACACCATTGCTTTAAAAAACTTTCTTCCCTTTATTTCATTGCCAACAAGAATCACGAATCACTCCAAAACTCTAATTGATAACATATTTTCTAATGCAACTTCTACAAATATTTTTGCTGGTAATTTTACTTCTATAACTTATTAACAACTTTTTGAATAATTCTGCTTGTTTTCTTATTCAACAGTTCGGGTTTCGCTAAAATTACTCCACTTCTCATGCTCTTATTAGCATAACTTAAATGATTCGTGGTAAAATTGACAGTGGTTCCTTTGCTTGTGGTGTATTCATAGATCTTCAAAAAGCTAATACGGTTGATCACAACATTCTAATAAAAAAGTAAAACTACTACGGAATATGTGGTATTGCTAATCATTAGTTTTCTTTATATATTAGGGATCGCACTCAGTTTGTTTCAATTAATGGATTTGAATCCACACATAAAGTTATTAAACATGGCGTTCCATGAGGTTCCACTCTTAAACCATAATTTTTTTTATTATATATAAATGATTTACCTTGTTCATTAAAAAATTCTATGGTACATCATTATACTGATACCAATCTTTTATATATCAACAAATCACTTTTGACTCTTTGTAAAAAAATTAATCAATATCTTCATTGCATATGTGGTTAAATAGTAATCGTATTTCATTGAATGTCAATAAAACTGAATATATTATTTTTCATTCGCCTCAAAAAACTATTGATAATATTAAAACTAAAATTAAGGGAAAAAAACTTTTTCCATCAAAATATATAAAGTATATTAGAGTATATCTTGATGAACCTATATTGGTATTATCAACTGTAACATCTTAAAAAAAAAACACAAGCTAACAGAATGTTTTCTCTAATTCGTTACTATGTTCCTATTCAAACTCTTTAAATGATTTATTCTTCTTTATTCTCTTCTCACCTTTGCTATTGTTGTATTGTTTGGTGTCAAAAAAGTAACATTTTACTTAATAGCAATGCTAGTTTACAACGCGCATCTATTAGAATAATGACATTTTCACCAATCAGATCTGATAACCAAATTTTCTGAACTAAAAATCCTAAATCCATGATCTTGTAAAGTTTTACAATTGTCTTTTTGTGTTTGACTTTCCCCAAAATAAACTACCAAATTCTTTTTTAAATTTTTTTATTAAAACAAATTAAATTCATAATCATCACACCAGGAATTCAGAAAATAGTAAGCTATACTTTTCTTTTTTTAACACAATTAAATATGGTAAGTTTTCCATAAAACCACAATGTATTTCCCAATGGAACCAGTGTATTCCTATATCAATAAAATGTCAAAAAAAAATATCACCTTGTTACGAACTATTTACTGCTCAACAGAATTCAATTTAAAAATATATTATTAAAGTGTATTTCTTTATAATTTCTCTCTGTCTGTAGTTGTCTTTACTATATAATTTCTTTAACAAATGAGTGGTTTGATTTTTGCTTTATTTATTATTTATCTATATTATATTTATTTATTATTGTTATAATTGCTAAATTTTATGTTATTATTATATTTAATTATTATCTATGATATGTACATACAATTTATATTGTATTATAATTATTCTTAATATTATTAATACTTTATTATTATTGTTATTATTTTGTATTATTACTTTTTTTTTTTTTAATTTATTTAAGTTTTCATACTATATTTTTCTAAACAATGTTCTTATACCCGAAGATATTGTTGGCTTAGCATAGGAACAGCCACAAATAGTTATTAAGACTAATTCAAAGTAACGACTGTTATTGACCAACATTTTTGCGTACCGAAGTACTTTTCAAGCGCTGAGTTGGCGGTGGCGGGATTTGAACTCGTATCGTTCAACAGTTCGGGTTTTAACTTTTCCTTTGACGCTCTAACCATCTGAGCTATCCCGCCACTACTGTAATTATTACGTATATCATTATTATTTGTTTAACAATCTTTTCTCTTTTTTCTTGCTTATTTATATTTTTTGCTTTTCTTTTCTTTTTTTTCTATTTTTTATTTATTTTTTCAAGAATTTTATGTTTTGTAGGTGTCACTCCATTGACTAGTTTGTAACTATATGAGTGACACCTAACCAAATTAAATTAATCTACAATGAGCATTTGTAAATTTTTATTGATATGGTTGAATAAAAAAACAACAACAACAACAACATAGCATCATTTTGCATTACTACATTGTATCATATCACATAACAACACTGCATCATATTGCATTACTATATTGAATCATATAGCAATACAACATTACAGCCTAAGTTATTGTTTTGTTAGACATTAAAACAGACATCATTAATATGAGCAAATATTTAAAAGCATCAAAAAATACAGGTTTAAAAAATATTTCAAAAAAAAACAGCATAAAAAAATATATAAAAAAAAAGTAAAGCATTTCCTGAAAACGTGAAAATGTTCCATTATGGGCTTCACAAAATATTTTCATTTATTTTGAAATTTTACTTTTTGTTCAGATTATTAATGTTAAACAAAATTAAGCAACTTTTATTAGCATTTAACCATTTAAAATTACTTACCAAAATAACTTACTTTTAAAATCATTTTATAATTAAAAATACAATTAAATTTGAAATGTGTAGATATTTTTTATAGTTAAATAAAGTAAATTATCTAATTTATAAAAAAAAAACAATATTCTTTTGTTATTTTTATAAACATAGTAAACATCTGTAAATATAGTTATAACATAGTAAACATTTAGTGCTTCATTTCACATTCTCTAAAACAAAGATATTTAAACTTTTTTTTATGAAGGCTAAACAAGAAGAAGTGGTGACAGCTCTACAAGCAGATATAGTAATACCAGACATTGTAAAACAGTTTTCTGCATCATGAGTCACAGATTAAAACATAAATAAACAACAACAAAAAACTGATAACACTAAAACCTACATTAAGAGGAATCAAGGTTATGAAAATGATAACTAAGGAGCTCTATGTTAGTGATTTTACAGTTCGAAAAATGGTTAAAAATGCTATTGGTGCTAGATCATTGGCCCAAACACATAGATTTCTTTTAACTGATTGACTATGAAGTCTGAGGCTTGAAGGTTAAAAATAATTTTAAGGAAGTAGGAAAAAAAGATGCCTGCTCTCAGTCTTAGTCAGGAAGGCATGCGATTATATGAATACAAATAAAATATTATGTTGCTGTTAACATAATTTAAAAAGTTGGAAATTTCAAAAATACGCTGAAAAAACTTTCTAGACTTAACTAGAAAGTTTTTTAAACTTTATTAAAAAAAAGAAAAGAGAAAACAAAACAAAAGAGAAAATAAATAGAAATTAATTCAAATTAAATCACAAAAATAAAAATATAAAAAAACTAAAATAAAAATTAAAAGACTAAAACGTTAAGATTATTAAAATCAAGTTTTTGATTACAATCGAAATAATAAACTTCGAATCTTTTATCTTTACTAAAGTTTTTATATTAATATAGGAAACCCTTCAAAATAAAGTTAGTTCGAACAATTGTTTAATTAATACGGACATTTAATTTTAGATTATGTTTTATTTTATTGATTTAAAAGTTTCCATATAAATACATTTTAGTAAATAATAATGCATTTAAAAAAAAGATCACTTTTTAAACCATTTCTTGGTTGATTTAAAACTACGTTTATTTGTAGAAAGCAATAGATAATAAAGGATATACATCTTTTATTAATAATTGAAACAAAAATAAATATCAGTAACTTGTTACTTTATTTAAAAGTTTTTTGCTAATATTAAAACACTAGCTAAGATAAATATTTCAATGTTATTTTTTTCTAATATGCTTTTATATTCATTGTGTTTTTGAAATGTTAAAAGCTGTGGTCAAATTGTCAGGACAAAATATTATTTGTGTGGTCATATAATGGCCTGTGATTGCACGCCTCGCTGACATCCTTCTCAATGTTTAGTCTTGTTGTACCTAATGGACTCATAATGCCACATGTCTTTTCAGAAAAAGGGTTTAAAACGAAGACAAAAGAGTACTTGGAAAAAAGCCAGAAACTTTAAGCCCTGGATCCAAACAAAATTTCCAGAATTGTCAAACTTTCTTAAAGTTCAAAATGGAGCTCCATGTCACACACGAAATGCAGTGCAGAAAGGGTTGTCCAAGAACAGGAAATTCTGTTCAGAAGAGATCTGGCCACCTAGCTCACCAGACCCTAATCCTATAGACTAATCCAAATGGGCTAATGTTTAAGCAAAGTCTTGTAAATGCCAACACAGCAAATTGACGTCCTGAAGAAATCTGTTATCAAGACATGGAAAGAAATGTCAGACACATACATTATAAAACATTCGCTCAAAGTTCAGGTCCAGGATTGAGGATATGATTGAGGCCAATAGAGTTTATATTAACTAGACATTCTCAATATATATTTTGAAGGCTTTTTAAATTTAAAAGACTTTTTATAAATATTTCTTTTAAAATATTTCCTTTTTTATTAACACAGTTTTAAAGTATATTTTTTAAAGTCTAAAATTTCAAACCTGGCATGGTAATGCAATGTTGTTTTGAACTTTTACTAATTTCAAAGTATGTTGCGAGAATCATTAAATTTGAGTAAGTAAACTTTATAACCAGGTACAACAATCAAACATTTATCTTTGACTTTATTAAGTCCTTTAAATAATCAATAGCTTTATCTTATAATTGTTAGAACTTTGAACTCCTTATCATAAATTTTTACTATACCAATCAAAAAGCCTGAGATCAAATTGCAGCTTTTAGTTCAATGCCTAACATGCTTCCCACAATTTTAACGAACATTTTTAATAGCTCATTTATCACTCTAAACACTAAGTGTAATTGCATAATTCAAATCTAAGATGCAACTAGCATCTTAAAAATGATGCACCAGAAAGTTTAACTTTCTTAGTGTACTTAAAACTTTGATAATTAATAGATTTTATAATTCTTCCAATGAATTCCAATTCCATTATGGTGAATTTCCCAAGTGGCATAAAACTATTTTTATTTAATTCACCTCAACTGCAAAAGTAAATTACAGTATAACAACAACAATCATAAACAACAACATTCATTAACTCATTAAACCTTTTTTTGTTTTAGGACACCAAAATTTGATTTTTTCACCATTTCATTTTACTTTGATTATAAATATCTTCCCAAATAAAAAATTTCTTTAAGCTTTAAAGTTTTTATAAGCATTAATGAACTCCTTTGGATGAGCATATTATTTTACATTATTTTGTCTATATTAGATTGTTTATATAAATAAAACAAATAAATAATAATATTAAACTATTTAAATTGTTATTTTAATTAAAGAAAAAACTTACTTAAATGGCTGGGCCACAAAAAATCATAACAGTTTTTAAGAGTTTCTAATCGTTTAAAAACTGGTAGAGTTATCAAGTCTAAAATAAAATAAATAATTTATACAATATTTAATACAATTTTTTGTTAAAAAACTATTTACTTTTTAATAAACTTGCTTATTCTATAACAATTTAGTTAAAAACAGAACCTACTTCCTCCTTCAAATGGTTGGTCAATACAAAGAACATGATAACTTTCTTTGTTTTTATTAAAAAAGGTCTCTTCAAATAGTATTTCAACCTGTAATAAAATGGATATAAATGCATGAATTTTTTTGAATGTCGACACTGAAATTCAATATGTTTTTTTTAATCAGCAGGTTTTTACTATTATGTGATAAAATTATATATTTTTCAGAGACAAAAGTGACATATTTTTGTTGTTAGATTGCAGAGTTTGCAATGTTTGATAATACTCTATTTTATAAAAAGGTTTATGTTTAGGTCTTTTAAGCTTCATATTTCCTTAGAGAGTTCTGTGTCAACTTTACCCTTCCATAAATAAAACACCATCAACAATGCTATGAATTTTGCTGATCATCATATTGTTATCAAAAGCAAAGACAAAGCATTGATAAAGCATGCAACAAAATCCCTTATCTTCAATAATGATGAAGCATGGATTAAAAAATAAAGGCAGATTGTTCAATGTCATGATGGGTGCATTTATTGGTGCAAGTTAATAGGTATTTTCATACTGTATTTCACAGCATTATAACAAAGAAGATTTCGGCCTACATCATGAGGACAGTCTAGCCATATTTAAGAACAACAATGGTCAGCAAATGGATAAAATCAAAAAGCATATAACACATATTTTTAAAAGAAACAATCTTCACATCAAAATTCAATCTAATATAAAAATTGTTAAATACCTTGAAGTTACATCAAATCTAAATAACAATAGATTCCAACCATATTGTAAACCTGATAATGAACTAAGCTACATCCACTCTAATTGTAAACACCCTTAAAACATAATAGTAGCAATCTCTCGCTATATTGAACAAAGATTATCTTCCATGTAAATTAAGGAAACTGTCTTTTAAAAAAACTATTCCACCGTACGAAGAAGCTTAAAAATAATTGGGATACAAACCTTACCTATGAACTACAATTAATCCCAGATCAAAATCAACAATTAAAAAAAATTGTAAATGTCATATCATTTGGTACAACCCTCTGTTCAGCTTGAATTTCAAAACAAAAATAGTAAATCATTTTCTACCACTAATTTATTTATATTTCCTAGCCGGCCACAAGCTACATAAAATATTCAACCAAAACTCTATTAATATCAGCTACAGTTGCATTATAGATGCCTAATCTAAAGTTTATCATAAATCCACATAATTTCAAAATATTGCAAGACAAAAATCAATTAATAACCAAGCAATGTAACTGTGTAGATAAAGTATTTTGCCCTTTAAATAACCAGTTTGTCCAACAATACTGTCTGCCAAGCAATCGTAATTTCCAGTGATCAAGAACATAATAAAAAAGTATATTTTCACATTAGTCATATGCCATTTAAATTAAGATACTCAAATCATTTGGATCAGTTAAGTATAGAAATGACACAGAACTTTTCAAGGAAATATGGAGCTTAAAATACCAAAACATAAAGTTTATTATAAAATGGAAAATTATCAAACATTGCAAACCCTGCAATCTAACAACAAAAAAATGCCACTTTTGTCTCTACAAAAAATATGTAACTTTATCACATAATGGTAAAAGACTACTGAATAAAAAAAACGAAGTTGTATCTCAGTGTCGACATTCAAAAAAATTCTTATTATCTTTATTTAACACAGAAGTCTAGTAAACTTTTTAACATCTTTTTGTTTATTGTTTTTTGTTTTTGTTTTTACTTAGATTTGTTTTTATGCCTGAACTCATTTTACAGTAATTTTTACATTTTTTGCTTTTTGTTTGTTTTAACGGCTGATGATTGCCTTCTAACATGAAACATTTAGTCCCACTAATCATTTGTTTTTATTCATCTAAATAATAAAAGTCTTTGTATTATTAGATCAAAATAGTTAACCTAAAATATAATTTATATATTTATATTTATACAAATATATAGTGTCCAATAGAAACATGTCTATTATATTATGTCCAATAAAAACATGTCTATTATATTATATCTAATAGAACGCCATTGGTAAACTTATGTCCCTAACCAATAATGAACCAATAATAGGTTTCAGACTATATATAAATACTACTGTAACATAAAACATATATATATATATATATATATATATATATATATATATATATATATATATATATATATATATATATATATATATATATATATCTATGTATGTATGTATGTATGTATGTATGTATGTATGTATGTATGTATGTATGTATGTATGTATGTATGTATGTACGTATGTATGTATGTTGTATATATGTATTTATGTATAAGCGTATGTATGTTTGTATTTGTATGAATGTATGTATGTTTAAAAGTCTGAGTGTACTATCCTGATATATATATATATATATATATATATATATATATATATATATATATATATATATATATATATATATATATATATATATTGTCAGCTCGGAATACAAATGTTATATTGATAATTTATTTAAATCATATAAAAAATTTAATTATTTAATTTATGTAAATTTAACATTATGTTAATAAAAATAACTCTTCTTGTAAACGTTATATTGTAACTTTATATAAAAATATTTATTTACATTTAAATAACTTTTAAATTACATAAATTAGATAATTACATATTTATATATAATTTAAAAATATTTTTGATCCGACACTTGTATTTCGAACTGACGATATATATATATATATATATATATATATATATATATATATATATATATATATATATATATATATACATATATATATATATATATATATATATATATATATATATATATATATATATATATATATATATATATATATATATATATATATATATATATATATATATATATATATATATAAACATACATATTTATCAGAGAAGTACACTCAGACTATTGGAAGTACATACATACATACATACATACATACATACATACATACATACATACATACATACATACATACATACATACATACATACATACATACATACATACATACATACATGCATACATACATAATAAGTTAACTTGTGGGAAAAGCTCAGATTTGATAAAAATGGACATATACTGTTTAGCCTCAAACCCTTTTTAATCTTAATATGCAGAAAAAAAAAAAGCATTTAATATTTTTTAAACTCTGTCATATTAAAAATAAAATTTACTAAAGACCAAGGTTTAAGACAAAAAAAATTATTATGACTAATTCAGTTAAATAATTTAAATTTAAAAAATATACATTTATGTTTTACTATTGTGAAAAAAAAATTGATAAATAAATTTATTATAAAAAATAAAAATTTTGTCTGCACATACCGATTTAACACAACCAAATCCTTTAGTTGTGATAATAAATGAACCATTAATTTTAGCATGCTAGAAAAATAAACTAACATAAAAATGACATAATTAATATTACTAAAAAATAAAATCACATTTTAATTGCAAAATATAATAGAAAATTCATTTTATAAGAAAGTAACCTTGTTATTGAGAGTTTGATAAATTGTTTCATTGATTGGTTTCAGTATATGGTTTTGAAATTGATCTATACTATGATCAGATGATGTGATTGTTCCCTTCCTCGGTATACATATCTAAAATAAACATTCCATAAATAAAAGCTACTCAAACAGCACAATCATGTTAAATTGACATAAAAATTTAAACTTAACAACAAAACAAAATTAATAACTTAACTTAAATTAACTTAAAAACTTAACTTAAATTAAAAACTTAAAAATTTCAACCAATCATAATATATATAACAATTATATATTGAATTTCACTTACTGTATATCTATTTGATGAGGCATAATCGAAAAATGTTTTCCCTTTAGTAATTAATGATTTGTAAAAAGGATTAACTAACAGATCTTCATCATAACTATCACCCATGCCTTGATTAAAAAAAAAGATTTACTATGAAGTAAAATTCAGTGATGTTTTATGTGCATATAATTCTTAAGTAAAACATAATAATCAATGATGACAATAACCTAATATATATATATATATATATATATATATATATATATATATATATATATATATATATATATATATATATATATATATATATATATATATATATATATATAATATAACCTAATATATATATATATATATATATATATATATATATATATATATATATATATATATATATATATATATATATATATATATATATATAACTTATATTGTATCTTTCAAAAAACTATATATGACATCATACTGAAATAGCCTGCTGCCAGGGGCTTCAGCACATACATCAACTGGCTAAATCGGTAGAACATGCAAAGAGTGCCACTACACTGACTAAGGGTTTGGGTTGGACAGCAATCTTCTTTTTCATTATCTTTTTTTGTTCTGAAAAAACTGTACAGAAAAAAGTCAACAAATGTATATCTATATATCCTATAGATATATATATATATATATATATATATATATATATATATATATATATATATATATATATATATATATACATATATATATATATATATATATATATATATATATATATATATATATATATATATATATATATATATATATATATATATATATATATATATATATATATATATATATATATATATATATATATATATATATATATATATATATATATATATAGGATATATATATATATATATACATAAATATATGACAATTTTTGATTTTATTTTCCCTGATTTTTTCCTGATTAAAATGGAATTTCCCTGACTTACCAATGTAAATTTAACAAATCTAGCAATAAAAGACAACAAATAAAACTGACACAACTTTACCCAAATAATAGGAGTTTTTTAAAGATCTATTTATTTTAAATTAATAAACATTTTCAAACAAAAAAATTAAATAAAATATGAAGTATATATTTATATATATATCTATATATATATATTAGGTATGTCCAAAAAAAAAAATTTTTGAATTCAACCTAGCACAATATCTCATTTTGTTCCTTTGATGGAAACTAACTTTTATGCAAATTTTGGCATTTATATTTTGATATTTACAAGTTGCTCAATGGAGGTGAAGTTTAACAGTACAGATAAACTTGCCGCGGCTGCACTTTTTTGACTGAAATCTTCAAACTAGAATCACAAGATGATAAAATGTGATAGATACATTACTATTCATTTCAAAAAGACATACTGGTTATGACACACACAGTGCAGACACAATCAGTCACACATTAACAATTTTTAATTTATCAAAATTAATATCAAAGAAATTAACAGCAATTTTTAAACATGTTCGTTCAGATTTTTATTGCATGCTCATTTATTGTTCACGTGTTCAAAGTTCAACATATTTCAGTTTTCAAGCTTGCGACGTCTACCGAGGGGCATATGCCATCAGGGTGCTTTTCCGGTAATCTGGAATGCGCTTCCTGTTGTCCTCAACAACTTGGAGGAGTTTCTGCATTTCAGACTCTGTCTTTGTTATTGACTGGTTTTAAGAACTCATCAGTGCAATAGAGCGCTCGGCAGTATCATTGATAACCTTGAGAGAAGCAACAACAGCTTTGGTTTTTCGAAATGAAGCACTTTCTTCCCAACTCGGGGGCTCAAGTCCTGACAAGGTAGTTATGTCAAGTCCAAGTGACTGCAATGCAGCTGTTGATGATGATGTTACCAGTTCATGTAGTTGCTTTTTCTCCAACTCATTACATTTTGATACTGGAAACTTGTTTCCCCTGACACTCCAATCATCTCCACTGAGGATCATGGCTTCCGCAATCAACTTCTTTTCTTCATCAGATACTTTGCTGGAGAACAGTGAAAGAGGAACCATTTCTGTTCCAAGATACCACATGTGATTCTGCAATTTCTTCAAAGCTGCTTGTGAAACAATCTTGTGTACCTCAGCATATCTTTTTATTCTCTGAAACAGCATCAAATCATTCAATGGTGCATCACTTGCCACTGGACAAGCAATCCAAGCTGGTACATAAATGTGAGCTGCAAAAATGCAAAATTCAGACAGGTTTTTCACCTCAGTTGAAGTCAGTTTGAATTCATTCCTGAACAGGAAAATCTTCATGCAATATATGACCTTTGCCATCCATCTTGCCATATGGTAGGCACCCGGCTGTCTGAAATGATATGGCTTTCCACCAGCTGGATGGCTTGGTAGTGTGAAACCCAATATCAAGAGGCAAAGTTCAATCATTTCCTTGTAGTCCTCTCGTGGTAGATATGACGTTTGACCTGACAGAAAAGACAGCAAGAAAGGACCAAATTCTGCTCTGAGTTGTTGCAGCTGTGGAACTGTAAGTCGCGTATCATCAAGTGGAACAAAGTTCATTTGGTCAATAGTTGGCCAAGACTGCTGAAAACGTTCAAATAGAGCAATGTTTGGGCCACGGCTTGGGCCAAGCAAAACTGTGAACACTTCACCAATAATCACTTCATGCACGTGGTGTCGACAAGCTAAGTATAGAAGGTTTCTCCCAATTAGTTGTTCCGCTGATCCTCCAAAAACAGCTTGTCTTCATCGATTTTGATTAATGTACCTGTATCTTTGTGAGCAATATCAAAGAGTAGATTCAGTTTGTCTTTAAATGCTTTTTCTCTAGCTAGCTGTGATTCACTTTCTCTTCCTTTATTCTTCTTGATCAAACTGTATTCATCAAAGCATACCTTCACCTTTGACACAATATGTAGTTGATAGGTCATTGGTATCCGTGCCTTGCTCCAAATTTTTACCAAATCAGATGAGGTTGACTTTGCACTGGCAGATACTGTCTGTTTTATTGTTTTGTGGTAATGGAAAAATGTACGAAGAACATTGCCCGTTGTCGGAAGGACATTACTCGGTAGGTCCTTTTCAGGTTGACCAATCAGCCAAACAGCAGTTCGAGTGCGTGTCAGTGGTACAGCGTTTGACTTTGCAGCCATTTTCAGCAACAGTCTAAAATTAAGATAGAAGCATTTTAGAATTAATAACAAGATAGGCCTATTAATTCAATGAATTCATATAAAAATGATTTATTAGAATATATTTTATTATTTTTATAATGGATTCGGATTGTCACAAATAAAGTTTGAAACCCTACTAATGGTTCAACACAGCATTAAGCAGGTTGTCTATAGTTCCTACAACTGTTTAATAGAATGATCAAATAAATATGAAATCAGCACAAAGTAAGAAACTAATTGAAACTATTATAATTACCTTTATTGAGAGTTTACATCAATGTATTAAATAAATTCTGTATAAATTCACAAGTTTGCTGAAATAATTCTCATTTGCTACATTGACAATGACATCATCATAGAATATCTAAATTCTAAAAACACTAAATAAATAAGTAATGCAAATGCAATGGTGCTTTACAGTCAGTAACCTTATCATAAAGATTGGTCAAATGGACAGATTATTTTCTGTTGTTACAATTTTATCGCGGACTCGCGGGTAACCCAATGCTGATGCATATTGAAAAACCTTTGGGGCCATTGAGCAACCCCTAAATATTAATTGATTAGGGATCTTTTTGGAAACATGACTAAATATTGAAAAACGAACAAAATGAGCCTATGTGCACTAAAATCGGAAGAAATTTTTTTTCCTCCATGTATATGTGGACATCCCTAATATATATATATATATATATATATATATATATATATATATATATATATATATATATATATATATATATATATATATATATATATATATATATATATATATATATATATATATATACATATATATATATATATATATATATATATATATATATATATATATATATATATATATATATATATATATATATATATATATATATATATATATATATTGGGGTAGTTCTAAAAACAATTTTTTTTTGAAAATGAATGCTGGCACAACCTGAATATGCAGTATATAACAAAAAAAATGCTGAACTTAAAATTTTTTTCAGTAAAATATATTTTAAGGGGCTGCAACTGATCTTCGAACATTAAATAGGTATATAAAAAAAAAAAGTTTTTTAAAAGTATGTCATGTTGGGTCTCAAGCGAAGCGAAATTATATAAAAATTTCAAAAATATTAATCATTTTATAATTAATTTTTTATTTTAGATTTTAGTGAACAAAAAATTGCATTTTTTAACTAAAAACGATTAATAGAGAAATTAACAAGATTTTTTTATTATAATTTTTTTTTATCAATGTTTTTTTATAAAATGAATATTATTTTTGAAATTTTGATATAATTTTACCTTGTTTGAGACCTAACATGACCTACTTTTGAAAAAAAAATTTTTTAATAATGTTAGGTACCTATTTAATGTTTGAAGGTCGGTAGCAACCCCTTAAAATAATTTTTATTCAAAAATTTTTTAAATCCAGAGTTTTTTTATTATATACAACATATTCAGAGGGTGCCAGCAGTCATTTATAAAAAAAGTTGTTTTAAGAACCAGTCTAATATATATGTATATATATATATATATATATATATATATATATATATATATATATATATATATATATATATATATATATATATATATATATATATATATATGTATATATATATATATATATATATATATATATATATATATATATGTTTCTGCATGTACATATAGCTTATAGGTTATACAAGTTTTTTGGTACTTTTAGTTAGATTTATAAAATATAATATGGATTCTTTTAGTGACTTTACAGAGGTTATTCAGAAAATGTAATAGATGAAAATAAATTCGCTTACGGTGTGTTTATTTACTTACAAAAAGCCTCCAAAACAGCAAATCGTGCTATTATTTTCATCAAACAAGCATATTATGGAGTTTGCGGAGTTTGCTAAAACTAGTTCGAATCTTATGTAAACTTTAGACTCAAACTTGCAATTATAAATAAAAATATCTCCCAGTCTGACAATTTAGGAATCCCTTAAGATATATGATATTTAGGTCTCTGCTTTTCTTGACATTAATGAATTTAACACATGTATTGATAATGGAGTATAAATGGAAGACTCTGTTTAGAAAGTATAACCAATGAGGCCACATCATCAGTTCTTAACTGAATCAAAGCCAAAAAATCTCACTTAATGTTAAAAAAACTTAAATAGTAATCTTTAAAACCATGAATAAAAGCAAAGTAACTTTCTATACTAATCAGAGGTATTAATTCCCACAAAATTACCAACCTAACTTGAAATTATGTTGGATAAAAACTTTCCTCTAAATTTTATCACTATTATTTACAAACAAAATTTTTTGATTTAAAAAAAAATTTATTCCTTAAAAAAAATTTCTTTACTTCAGTATAAGCCATCAATACTATCCACTTTGACAATGTTACTTTGTTATAAAAATTATCAAAGATTTTAAAACTATTTAGAAATATCAAAATTCAATTG